GCATGCAAAAGTTCTCTGGACTGGTGACAAATTAGTTCTTTGATTATTGTGCCATATTCCCCATTATAGAAATGTCAGAAGGAAACATCTGTCCAGCAAATTGCCATGGAATAGAATTGAAGAATTACTGGGAAATTCATACAATTCCATGGACAAGTGACAAACGATTCCAAAGGCATTGATACCAGAGCATTAACAACAGAAAAGAGAAAATAAAGAGCATTTTGTCTTGAGAATAAAAAAGAAAAGACAAATGTAAATGTCAACCAAGGACCATAGATGTTCTAGATTTTATTCCAAATGGAAAACAGCAAGTCTTCCAACTTTGTGAAACATTTTCTTTAGGCAATAAAGATTACATTTGTTTACATCTGGCATCTTTAATTACACTGATCTAGATTGTCTAGATTTATATAAATTAAACAACCAAGACCAAGAAAACAGAGTAACTTGCCCAAGGTCACACAGTTAATTATCAGCAATGTCAGAACTAGATGTGTATTTTTTGACATTATCATTCCCCATCCTTTCCCTCACAGAATAACTCAGGATGACATATTGAATGAATGCAGAAAACAGATAATTCATAATTAGAGGAACAAAGAAGAAAACTAATTTTCAAAAACATATACCTAATATAACTGCACAGAAGACATTCTTTGCAATACTGATATTACTTTTATATAATTTTTTGGACATAGATAAAGGGTATGTGTTACACACCACAACTGGAAATACTTTCTTGAGGTGATACATGATTCACCTCATAGCATCTTCTTTTTTGTGTCTTTTTGACCCAGAAGTATAATTTGTTTTTCACTTAATTTTGAGCACCTTGAATTCATGGAGTTCTAAATTATAATTATATTAGGTCCGTGGGCCACTTAACATGATCACAAAGCGGGCATGAAAAAATGTTGAATGAATGAATCGATGGATGGACTAATATATTCCTGGTTTGTAAGAGGAAAATACTTCCACTTGTTGACATGGGGCCTTAGGAAGTTGTTAGTGATTCCCAAGCTCTTAATCTTGAAGATCCTTTGTGTATTAGTCCATTTTCATGCTGCTAATAAAGACATATCTGAGACTGGGCAGTTTACAAAAGAAAGAGGTTTATTGGAATTAAAGTTCTGTGTGGCTGGGGAAGCCTCCCAATCATGGCAGAAGGTAAAATGCACATCTTACGTGGCAGCAGACAAAAGAAGTGAGCTTGTGTAGGGAAATTCCCCTTTTAAAACCATGAAATCTCATTAGACTTATTCACAATCAAGAGAACAGCAAGGGAAAGATCTTCCCCCATGATTCAATTACCTGCAGCCGGGTTCCTCCCACAACACATGGGAATTCAAAATGAGGTTTGGGTAGGGACACAGCCAAACCATATAACCTTGTTATTATACCTGTATGTGTGTATGTGTGTGTGCATTGATGCTATTTCCTGACTATTGTCACTCAGAATCATGCACTGTCTATGACACTTTAGTGTTCATGTGATACCAGAATGAGTTTTTTTTCTTGAACCATCTGACGATCTTTGATTGGAAATAGAACTTTGGGTCACTTATTGTTCCAACCACTAGAAGTAAAACAGACAAAGACAGCTTTTCTACTTGTGCAGAAAACTCACAAATGAGTATAAGTCAGAAATGCACAAAGAACTAGAGAGCATTAAGAGCTTCTGAACTTTTTGGAGGTGAGACCTGAAGGATGAATATAAACTGTGCAGAGAAAGAATGTGGGTTTAGTGGTAGGCAACAGAGTATTTGAAGAGGGCTTGCTTTTTTTCCTGATGACTGGATCTGAATGTGGGAAGGTAGATGAGAAGGTCTGAGAGACTGTACACATTCATGCATGTGAAATGTCTATGTTTATTTGGAATAATCGAAGAAAGAGATTAAACCTGAAAGTAAAAAGATAACATCTGGGAGATGGAAGAAGAAAGGGATAAACCTTGAGATTAAGCAGAGCCACCCTTTGCAAAGCTTTGCCAACTGGATAACTGATACTTTATCAAGGGTTTTTGAAATTTATTGAGCAGTTTTAAGAAGGAGGGATTATATTCAAGTTGCTTTATTTTATTTTTTTTTGATGGAGTCTCGCTCTGTCACCAGGCTGGAGTGCAGCTGTGCGATCTCGATGCACTGCAACCTCCACCTCCCAGGTTCAAGAGATTCTCCTCCCTCAGCCTCCCGAGTAGCTGGGACTATAGACATGCACCACCACACTCAACTAATTTTTGTATTTTTAGTAGATGGGATTTCACAATGTTGGCCAGGATGGTCTTGATCTCTTGACCTCCTGATCCGCCTGCCTCAGCTGGGATTACAGGTGTGAGCCACTGTACTGGGCCTCAAGTTGCTTTTAAAATTACTTGATCTTCTCTGTGAAAGAAAATGGCTAGATCAGCAATGTTAAAAGGATATATCTTTCTTAATCTGAAAAGTAATGATAATTTTAAACTGAATAGGCTTATTGGAAATGAGTTTTATACCCCTTGGTGTAATGAGGCAGGTTGAATTTGAAATGGAGCCAAACACAGAGCCTGACACAAAGAATTCATTTAATATACCTTAGCTTCTCTCTAGTCCTTTCTAATTTCCTTCTTTTCTCTTGCCTTGTCAAATATATTTTTTAAGCGGAACTGCGTGTTGCTTCTGTCGTGTCTGTATTACACATGCCTGTGAATAGCGGGGAATAAGCATTGGTCTAACTAGAGCCAAATCTCCAGGCAGCGCTGCCTTTAAAGACTCACATGGGGCAGGCACAGTGGCTCATCGACTGTAATCCCAGCATTTTGGGAAGCCAAGGTGGAAGGATCGCTTGAGTCCAGGAGTTTGAGACCAGCCTGGGCAATATGGTGGGACCCAATCTCTACAAAACAAAAGAACAACAACAACAACAACAAAAACAATTAGATTGGCATGGTGGCACATGCCTGTAATCCCAGCCACTCAGGAGGCTGAGGCAGGATAGCTTGAGCCTGGGAGATTGAGGCTGCAGTGAGCTATAATTGTGCCACTAAACTCCAGCCTAGGTGACAGAATGAAACCGTGTTTCAATTTTAAAAAAAGCATACCTCATCCTTTCCATTGTCCTCTTTATTTCCTTTTAAGTTATATTTACATAGTCTTCTGTCTACAGATGCTCTTTATCATGAGAGAAAAAAAATAGCAGAGACATTGACTGAGCTCTTGTCCAGTCTTTGAGTGTGACGTTGTTCCATGCTGATACAATCTCTTCAGTCTTCAGGTTTGCATGGAACCGATTAAGCCAGGCATTTTTGTCATCGTCTACCATATGTTTACTTGATATTTGTGATCTTCTGAATGAGAACCTGGGGTAAAGTCATGAGATCATAAGGTCCATCTAAACCTGATTCCAGCACCAGCATCCATTAATCCATTTGCTGTTTTAGAAGGAGGCTTATTGTGCCGTATTTTGCCAAATAGCAAACTAGGAAAACTGTCAAAAGGGCATTATAGAAGAAGAAAAAAATCTTTCGATAAAATATGCTTCATTTTCATCATTTCAATTGCTTTGTAATTATGGCCTATTTCTCCAGAAACAGCAGATTTTCAGCAAATGGTTGAGTCTCTAAAAAACTACTGATCACTTTCCTAAATAAACTGGGGGGCAATTTCTACAATAACATAAAATGCTTCCTTCTTATTCAAAGGAATGCCACAATCACTGTCCACTTGACAATTCAGTCTTGAAGGTCAAATAAAACATCACACTTCTATTAATTTAAAAAAAATCTTCCAGAAAGAGAATGTTCACAACTTCCACTGTGCTCACAAAAAACTTTGTACGCCATGTTGCACACCACTGCATAGTTTAATTTTGGCTTTGTCTGTCCATTGGTCCCACTAATATCTTGTGATTACATTGTGTTCTAATCATGCCTTCTCTCTGTGTATCTAAAATCTTCACATAAAAATAGGTGGTTAGAAAAAAAAATGCTTTTAAAGGAATGAATGTATAGGCTCTCAGAAATGTATCCCAAGATCTTTTTTAAATTACATTTCGAAACAATTATAGAGTCACTGGAAATTGCAAAGTTAGTACAGAAAGTTCCCCTTTGACTTTCATTCAGCTTTCCCTAATGGAAATATTTGAATAACTCTTGTGTGTTCAAAACAAGGAAATTGGTATCGTCACAATACAATTAACTAGAGTCTACTTGGATTTCATTAGGTTTTGCATGCACTGTTTTTTCTTTCTGTGTTATTTTTTGTACTTTTGTGTGTATAGTTATATGAGATTGTCTCACCTGCGTAGATTTATACAATTAAGATACAGAAATGTTCTGCCACTCAAAGGAACTACTTTTATGGCCACACCCTCTTCCTCTGCACTAACTACAGGCAACCGTTGATCTGTTGTCCCATTGCTGGAGTTGTGTTGTTTAGAAAATGTTATGTAAATGGAATCATCTAGCACTTAACTTTCAAAGGTTGACATTTTTCACTCAGTGAGATGCCCTTGAAATCCATCCAACTCGTTGCATTACCTGCAGTTTCTTTCTTTTTAGTGCTGGGTAGCATTCTATTATGGGATTGTACCACAGCGTGTTTAGCCAGACTCCTCAAACATTTAATATAATTTTCAAATTGCTTTATCATTATCATCTCATTCTTACACTTCTCTTAGGTGACAGTTAAAAAATTCTTCCCCTAAGATCCTTCTTGTGAATGTTTCTCATTAAATTCTCTATAAGCCATGTCCCTTATGAATGTGCCAGAGAGGAATAGCTGGATATCTAACTTGGCCTTCCAGCATTCTTCAACCTGGAACCAAGCTGAAGAATACAACTTCCCTGGTAGTTAGGACAAAATGGTTATAGGGCCTTGGCAAGAATTTGGAACTGCACAGGTTACAGAAAATGATTTTGGTCAATGTTCCTAATTCACTGTATTCTTCTGGTACACATTAACCTTTTAGTCCAGGGCTCTTTAGCAATGCACTTTTAAGTGCTATCAGAGAATTTATTTGTTCTCAACCATGCATAACTCAGCAAATTTGAGAGCTTGATCTCTGGGAGGAATGTTTTTTAAAGGAAGATCTTTTTGTATTTAATATAGCTCTCACAAGAACTCAATGTAACAAATCGATATATATTTATGGTGTCACCAAAGACTTCGGGTGGATAAGGAGGTGGTGGTGTGAGTTGGAAGGGAATCGACAGCTTCTTCTTACTCTAAGGAGTGGAGCTGCCTTTTTTTTTCAGTACAATAATGATTCAAACACACAAAAAGAATCCCCATGATGCTAAATAAAAAAATACTTTGTGTTTTCTTTTTCTGCTTTTTTTCAGTCTCACCCCGAGATCACAGCAAAGAATGGAAAGAAAAAAATAATAATAATGAGAGTCTGACTTAGTAAAAGCGAAGTTCTTTCTCTGTTAGTATCACAAAAACAGAGAAGCCCCCAGGCCTTTCATGTGTATTCTAGAAGGAATGCCTGCTTCCAAAAATGGTAAGTTTAACCTTCTCGAAGTTACATTTTCCTGAATTATCAAGGCTCAATCTTGTTCTTTTGTTATTGAATACATCTCTCATAAAACTCAGATGCCTTTTTTGGACTGACCCTGGAGCTGAGGGTGGAGGCAGCAAGGAGGTGGGTGAGGAGGAAGCCCATGTATTTCATGTTTCTTATAATCAGTTTCTTTCAGGGACTTCTTCAGGGACTGCCTGATCCCTTCACAATGCTCCTGTTCCTGATCAAGGAAAAGACATGTGATTTTGCAGTCTCCTTTAGCTCTCCTTCATGGAAATGATTCTCTTGACACTGAAACTAAAACATCGTCTAGGCATGGCTGAAAAGTAAGTGTTCTGGGCCTCTTTTCAACTTCTCCAAGCCCCAGCCGTGACTGGAAATTGTGAAGCAGCATTTCTTACAGTTTCTTTCTGTTTTTACTATTTTGGTTTCCTTTATAGGAATCATTTTTCACTGCAGCAAGAAAAGTGAGGGAGTGAAAGGTAACAGAGTGCGAAGAATAGAATAATATTTGCTCTCTGCTGAGTCATCTGACTCAGATCATTAGTTGGGGGCTTTTGAGGCTGGATTTCTAGCTGGAAAGTGCTTTTAAAAATGAGAAAAACTGAAATTAACCCTCGTGCTGATGGTCAGGATTTAACTAGGAATAGAAGTTTGCCTCTAAGAATGTTCAGGGAAATTTCTGAGACGGTCTTGCCTAGGAACTTCCCACTTGTGGATTCCAATTTTTAACTCTGAGTTTTGTATTGAAATAGATGTGTCATGTTCTCCTAATATCTGTGAAATATTTTATATTTTATGATAGGATAAGTTAGGAACAAAAGCAGGAAATTTTCCAAATCTTGGGCCATGTTGTGAGTGGATATTTGGTGTAATAGAGAGAATTATGTATTGAAGACAGACAGGACTGAATGCATTTTTCTCAATATATCGTCTACCAACTGATGATTTTTTGAGAAGCCCTGTTACCTTTTTGATCTGGAACATTGTAATGTTACCCTTCTTTCAAGGCTGCTGCAGGAGTTATAATGTGAAAAATAAATCATAATTTATTATTAGAAAAATAGTATTTTATTATTAGAAATCTAAACTAGAAAAATTTAGATGTTGTACAGGCCTTCAAAATAGTCTACACAAGCACCCTGCATTTAAAAATAGTAAATCAAAACCTAATGACATGAACTTATAAATATAGAAAGGTAGTATTAGAGAACTTCTGGCTCTTAGGTTATTATATGTAGAATAGTTTTGACTTATATTTATAACTTCTGTGTGTATACTTGTAAATATTTATAGTACATGGATACTCACTATTTATAACACTGAGTAAATGATTTTAGAGTAAATTTGGCATATATCTCATAATAAAAACATTGTAAATAAAGGTAAAGGATTTGCAATCAATGACAACTCAAAGGAAAATAAAAGTGATTCTGCTAGATTCAAACCAAAGATTAATTTCTACGTGAAGATACAACATGAGTTCACTTATTTTTATCATATCCAGCCTACATCTGACTTTGTTACCCAATAAATGTTATGCTGGAACTGTTATATAACATCGCACATTCAGCTGTTGTTCCAGCAGATGACATTAAAACTCCTTCAACCACCGTTAAGATAACAAGTAAATTCCACTTCCTTGGGATTCCTGGCAATAATTGAAAACTTATTTAACATATGCCTAGAAAGACCAGCTGAAGAAGAGAACAGAAAAATTATTATTCAACTTGTTCAGAGTCTGCCTAAAATAACCCTAGAATGATTGGACTGACAATTCCCATTGGATAGGAGGCCTGTGGCCCTTATGGTCGTAAAAAGACGTGTCATCTGTGACCTTTACAATAGAAGATGGGGAAGACCAAGCTGGGCAAACAATTGTACAGATGTTGAAGGAGATAGAAATATTCTTTCATACTTAAGGATTAAAGATACAATTTAATCTTTGAAAATACATAAATTACATGATACATAAACAACCTATATCTCCTCTAATCATATTACTCAAACAAAACACAGATTTATCCTAAGAGAAAGCTTTTACAATAGCTTAAGTGGACTGATGCTCTTTTTCTTTTAAACTAATTAATAAACATGTAAGTGTAGAATACCGTATTATACATAACATAACTCCAGAACTTTTTCATCTTGCATAGCTGAAACTCTACAGCCAGTGAACTCCTTATTTGCCTCTCCCCATAGCCCCTGGCAAACACCATTCTACCTTTTGCTGCTTAGAGTTTGAGCACTTCAGATACCTCAGATAATTGGAATCATACAGTATTCAAAAGAATTGAAAACAAGATCTCAAAGAGATATTATTTATACTCTGAAGTTTATTCTGGCATTATTCACAAATGCCAATATATGAAATAACCCCAAAGTCCATGTATGGATGAATGGATAATGAAAAGGTGATAGTGATCTATCTATCTGTAGATATCTATCTATCTCTCTCTCTCTCTCTCTATCTACCTACCTATTTATCACCTATCTGTTGATAGATAGATATCTATAGATAAAGAGATATATAGATATCTACATCTCTCTATATTTATATATAAATATATAAATATAAATATTCTACTCCATAAATATATAGGTTTCTACATAGCTATAGAGATATCTATATATATCTGTATATAATTTTTGTTTTAGTAAACAAATTATATTCATATTATTTTATATTCATGAATTAAATTTACATTATTCACATTACATAAATATGTAGATACATATATATTTATTTATAGAGATATCTATATCTGTCTATCATCTATCTATCTCTCTATCTATCTATCTATCTATCTAATACACAGTTGTAGTCTCTTAATGATGGGATATATTTTGAGAAATGAATCCTTAAGCTATTTTGCCATGTGTTGACAGAGTGTACATACACAAATCTAGACAGTACAGCCTACTACATATCTAGGCTGATTATGTAAACTTTTCTCATGAAGAGTTTGAAGCCAACCCATTATGTATAAAATGTAAATATTACTGAGGAAAAACATGTTATATGTTTTATTAGTTTTATATAATATAAACAAGAACTTTCACTCTCTGGGCCTCAATATTTCTTACCGGTTTGAAAAAAGAAAAGAAGAGAAGAAGGAAAAAAACCAAAGCTTGTTATTTTCTAAAGGAAGCTTGATAGCTAAAAGTTTTTGATAGTTAACCTGATGGAGTGTAGAGATTTTCCAAGGGATTTGGATTCTAAAGGCTTGGATCTAAGTTTTCAGTCTGTCATTAAATAGCTTTGTGTTCTAGTTTTGTATCCTTGGTGTCTTCAGCTATAAAATTATGCTGATACCAAATTTTCTCCAGGGCTTTTAGGTAAATCACATAAAGCTGTAAATATGAAAATAATTTTTGTTTACTAAAAATATGAATGTTTTCTGATGATTCTATTAGTAGTGTTAGTCAATAGGATATATGAAGCTCAAGGACTGAAATGTTAACATTTATATATAAATATGTCACTATATAGATATAACATTTCTCTGTCATTTAACATCTGTTTACATGTTCTCTGTCAAGGTCATGCATGTACTGGATGTTTTTTTACCAGTGACTTTAAGTGAATCTGAAATTATTTAGGAGAATCCCAGAATTTGAGAATTGGGTAGTAGGACCTGGAATCTGGGATCTAAAGATGCTAAGGCAATTAACAAAGGCTAAACTAAAGGTGAATAATCATTCCAGATAATTAATTAAGAAACAGTTTATGTTTCCCAGAAGTTGATTCTGGGATAAAAAAGCACTTCTAAATACTTATTTCTATTTTGAAATATATTCTTATGCAGATACTCAGTTATAATGTTGATTTCAAGAACCGATCAAGAAGGATTGATAAATGTTTCTCAAATACCAGTGAAGTACTTGCCTGTCGCCCAGGCAACTTGCATGTATTACTTTGTGTAATCCTCCTGATAACTCTATCAGATGGGTACTCCTCTTTCCATTTTACAGATGTGGGGCTGAGTTGCAATGAATATCTAAAGTTCCCAGAGGTATGACACAGAGATGAGATCTTACCCAGATGTTCTATCTGTCTAAGTATCTATTATCTAAATATGCATAATATATTTTTATCAATTTGTATTAGTCCATTCTCTCATTACTATAAAGAAATACCCGAGACTGGGTAATTTATAAAGAAAAGAAGTTTACTTGGCTCACAGTACTGCGGGTTTGTACAGGAAGCATGACACTGGCATCTGCTTGGTTTCTGGGGCGGTCTCAAGAAAATTATAATCATGGGAAAGGCAAAGTGGGAGCAGCACATCACATGGACGGAGGAGGAGCAAGAGAGCAAGGGTGAGAAGCTACACACTTTTAAATGACCAGATCACATGAGAACTCACTATTATAACAGAACCAATGGGGATGGTGCTAAACCATTCATGAGAAATCTGCCCTCGTGAGCGAGTCATCCCTCACCAGTCCCCATCTCCAACACTGGGGATTATATTTCAGTATGAGATTTGGGTGGGGACAGTTCCAAACCATATCATTATCAATATATCTTTGTGTGCATGTATGTATCTTTCTGTCTGCCGATCTCTCTATTTCTATACCTATATAATACATTGAGAAAGTAAGTCTGTATCTTATTTTCATATTGACATATCTTGCTCAAGTAATATAAAGTGCCAACCACAAGTGAAAATCAACCTCAGAATCATGTCCACTGTATAGAATAAAGACAAAAGAAGAAGGATGGGCATAAGAAATCTGAAATAATTTATGAGTATAGGACGGGGTAGTATTCTAGGAACAACATTTTAAATAACAGTGGGAATCCTGTTATAAGCTTGTATAACTTCATGGAAAAGTAAACAGGGAAAAGTAAAATTAATTGTACAATTCAGTTATATTTTAACACTTTATTTACACCTTACTCAGATAAATCAGTTCTTAGTATTTCCTCAGAAGAAGAAGGAATCTTAGGAAAACTCGAGATGCCCCAGAATCAACTTATTTGAATTATAGTTTAGTTAATGGCTTTTGGAAGAAAAAAAAAAAAGGCTGATAATATCGATAAATGTGTTATAGTTATTTTGTGGGTTTTTTTTTTTTTTTTGATTACCTGAAAAAACTTGTATCTGCCTGGGAAAATAGAAAAAAGATAGGTATGTAAAAATATGTGTGGGGAATAGTCAGAGAACATGAGTAATTTAGCATGAAGTCATGCATGTTCCAAGTCTAATCTAATTTATGAAGCCCACCAATGATACAAGTTCTTTCACCCTCCTCCTGAATTTTTCTTCTCAGAACTCATTGTGTATCTCTAGAAGGCTGGATCTGTCTTCTGGCATTA